TTCTGATGGAATCAGCTACTCTTCATTCTCTAATCTAAACTACAATGAATTTATTATGCACATCCTACATTATATTGCACATATTTGTTTACAATTTTGTCCCTTTAATGGCATATAAACAATATAGGGCCAGAAGCCCATGTGTTCATATTACAGTCTTCAACACCAATTCCTTTTCCCGCCACTCAGTAACTTAGTGCTTATTGAATAAACATTTGAAAGTGCATCCGACAACTATTAGACTATAAATTCACATAGGACAGGACCTTTCTTACTTGCCTTTATAGTACACCTAATTTCTAATTCAATGTCTCACATATAGAGCATGCTTAGTACTTAGTAATTCCATGTACCTGTATAGTTGAAAGGAAAGGAGTGTATCTAGAGCAGTGGTGGTGAACCTATGGTACACATGCTGCAGCTTGCCATTTGTTATCATTGAAACCTCTTAAAAGGTTCTCCGTCACTGCTGTCAGGTGAATGGGGACCATGACTGTAAGATACAAAGACAGGAAAGAATGTGTTGTAAGTTCAATTGGAAAAAAATCAATTGTATAAAGGTAAAATGAAAAAGACACTGCATGGGCCAGGGATTTGGCTCGCAAACACAAGGTCCTAAGTTTGATCCTGCGCTACTGCAAAAAACAAACAAAAACTCCAAAAAACAACAAAAAAAGACACTGCTAAGCAACGGCCTATGACTGTTTCATTGTTCCATTTGGGGATTTGTAGAACTGTGTATAGCATGTATTCATAGTTGCAACTGAGTTTTTTAAATTGTTTTATTATTTACTTACTGATTTTACCTGGTCAAGTGCTTTTGGATCAGGGACATATTTCTGGTCTAATTATCTGTGATGAGGGTAATAGACATATGTTAGGGAATTATTTTCAGTCTTCCTCTCTCAGCTGATCATTTTTGCTTATACACAGATTCTCACCGCAGATTATTTCCTCCTTAAACTGGGTTGTTTAGTCTGGAGCGCTCAGATTGCAATGGTGTACATTTGAATTATTCAGAGATTCAAACAAATTATGAAAGATATTGTTTAAAACCTGGAAGTGAAGAAAAAAGAAGCAACCCCTGCCAATCTAGCCCTACCTTTATATGCATATTTTTATTTCTTTGGCATAGCCTGTGAATGCCCAGTCTGTAACACTGCATATAAAATTTTTCTTTTGCAATGTTAATATGCTGAGCCTAAAGATGCCCCCAGTAGAAACAACATATTGCTCAACAGCTAATAAAGAAACAAAAAGTTGGGAAGTCTAGTCATATAATCAACATATTTTGTTTGTTTGTTTGTTTTTTCCATACTGGGGATTGAGCTGGGGACCTTGCACTTGTAAGTCAGGCATTGGAACCACTGAACTGAATCCCTGGCCCTAATAAACATATTTTGGAAGTGTCTGGAAGGCACAAACATCTGAGATGGTGTTAGGTAGAGTGGTATTTGGTGAAGCCTTCAGGTTTTTTCTTCATGGTGATTTGTGGACTGATTTGTGCACTTGCTTCTTGGCTCAGACATGCATCATGCATCGACTCTGGGAGACTACTAAGCTAGCTAATTGTGTAAAATATGTGGAAGCTCATTGCTTTCCTAGCTGTTAGTGAGTTGAAATATGCTTACTGCTTCCAGAGTGGGCAGGAAGAGGGACTGAGAAAAATGATGATACATAATCTGAAGTGTTGTAACATAATTAGGGGAATGTATTAAGGACCAGAGCAGGGATTTAAAGCTAGAAAGATCTGTTTTCAACTGCAGCTCCATGTATTCCCAAGTATGAAAACTCAGAAAATTAATCTTGTTATGGAAATCTCGAAAAGAAATACACAGAGACACAGAATTTGGATAAAATCATAAAATTTCTTCTCGCGAGCGGAAGGGAACGCCAGAAACCAGTCTGGTCAGTATCCACCCCCCTTTGTTCAGCATTTCCCTTTTCATATCCTTTTTAGCCATTATCTCATCCCTAGTGGTCTTTGATATATAAATACAATTCCAGTTCCTATTTACAAGTCACAGACACAGGATAGGCCATATACATTGTAAATTCACCCTGGCATGGTAACTTTGTTAGGTTAATGAAGTTACTGGTTAGAGTCAGATAATCCTCACCTTAAACAAGGAGTTAAGGGAAAAGCAAATCTTAAAAGAACACATTACTTATTTTGCTTCTATAACTACTTTGATATTCAATCTATTAAGTTATCTAAAACTTTTCCATATCAATCTGTCTTCACTTTTGTTTGTAAAGGAGACTAGAAATACCTTCCCATACAGTTGCTATGAGGATTGAATGATGTAATATCAATAAAATGTTTTTAGAGTTCCTAGCACTTAGCAAAGAATTCTCATTTTTAAACTGGCATTCAACTGAAATAGTTGAAGAACAGTGGATCACATAAAAAAAAAACTTGAAAATTTTAGAAAAATACTACATGATCATTGAAAAATGTATAAAAATCCATGCCAAGCTACACTGAAAAGAACAAAAGAAAATATAAATCTCCTTCCACTTCCCCACCCAGCAGTAGAACATGCCAGCCAGATATCTCCCTGCACCTTTATCTAGATATAGAAAGCACATTTCCATTCCAAGCTATGTTAGGATGACTTCAGTAAGATGGAAGTGTAGGCTTTTTTTTTTTTAATGTTGGAATTCCACTGCAGATGTTATTATCTGAACCTGGCCTTATTGTAGCAGGCTGGACGCCCTCTACCTGGTGAGCACTTCTCCAGGTAAGTGACTGACTTCAGCTTTGATCTCAGGAATGCTTTCTACTTTTCTATTTTCTACTTTTCAGATATTTGTGGCTCTATATGGTCCTCCAAGGTGATTGCCAGTCAGAACTCCTTCTTTGTGGAAATTCTCTGGGCATTGTCAGTTCTGTAAATCCATATATTGCTTGATTTTTTCCCCCCTATGGCTCACACTGCATAGTTCCAATTTCTGGATTGGGTGGAGGCCTTTTCTTTGAATCTGAGTTTGCATTGTAAGTTCTGCCTTCTTTAGGGAGACATTTCACTCAGGGGCCTGTTGTGTTTTCTTTCCATTGGACCCAAGCGGGGGCCAGTAGTAACTTTTGTAAAAAAGTCATGAATGTTCCTTTTTAATTTTTCTGAGAGGCTCTTTGATCTTTTAAAATTTCCTGGAGGTGCTGTATAGGGACTTGGAGGAGCAGCATTACCTACCAAGCTTGTGAGCCTTAGACTCACATCAATCTCTTCATAATTCTGCTTGCTTTCCACTGCACTTTTTTAAAAAAACAAATTGTAAAATGAAGCATACAGGATTTAGATTATCTAGGCAGCAAGTGAAGTAACTATGGTCATAATGATTGTACTGTGCTTCCTTTTTGATGCTAATTTTTTATTTAAATTGTCATGTTATTTATTCCATTGGACTCTAATCTTTTTATCAAGTCTTCATTTGATGACTAGTTTCTTTCATGTTTTCTTAATTATGAGCAACAGAACTATAATTATATTCTAGCACATTGTAATATGTAACTATGGGATAAGAATGTCATTGTTGTATGTGTATTTTTTTGTGTGTATGTGTAGTTTTTACTTCTGTGTTTGACATCCTCGACTACATTTCATAAAACTGAATGGGCATATCAAATGAAATACACATTTCCATTTTGATAAATGTTTTTAAACTCTGGGAAATTCGACAAGACAGAGGTATACCTAAGTTGTATGGGAATTTCAGTTTCTCCACAGCTTGCTTGATGTTAATAAACTGGATATCTAGTTTTTAAAAACTACACAATCCTTCCTCTTAAGAAAATTAACTTTCTAACAACATTCACAAGATTTCACCGTGAAATTGTGTTTTACTGTTGCCTCAAGAGTGAGCTCTCTCTCTGTACCTCTTAATGCACTTGTTATGTCATCTGCCTGAAACATTCTACAACTGGATCTTCCCATGCATGCTGTGTTTTGTTAGGAGCCATTTTGTATAATTTTGGGGAAAAATCATTTCATAATTGAATTATGATGAGGGCTAAGGCTCAATGTCTTCTTGCCCAAGAGCCAGCTCTGGCATTCAGAAACAGAACTCGGTTTTGCTTCCCTTCGATGGTCTATAATGTTACGATGCTCAAGGGCAAGGTTTAATCAGCTGAAGACACCCTGGTTCTTTGAGAACTGAGTAGTAATAAAAAAAGTGAAAGGTTTCACCTGGGGGAAGGACAAATTCTTTATTGGTATACTATCTCATCCTACCTACTACTCTCCTTAGTGCTCTCATCAACATAAGATCCTCATTGGCCTAAGATCCTCAGCAACCTAAGATCCTCATCAACATAAGATTACCGCCACCCCCTAAGTCATCCAATGCTCCCTCCAATTATTGTGTGCACCCAATAAATAGTGGCTAGCTCAGAGGTCCTTTGTCTTTGCCCACTCTGAGGTACTGACCTCCCACCCCCCTTGTACTGGGATTTTAGGGTGGCTACAGTGTTTCTAATAATAG